TGTGTTCACCCAGCTCTACACATTGTTATCTCAGATTCTCCAGCATCTGCAGTTCCTACTATCTCAGTAACACTGAGTGAGGGGTTTAAAGGTGGGCATCCCTTCAAAGAAAAGAATTCTTGATAGTGGCTTCCTTGCAAAGCTGGTAATGTTCTTGTTGCTCTTTTTTCACATCTCCTCTAGTTCCTCAATATCATTTTTCTAGTATGGAGACTAAAACTGCCCAGTACTCCAACTGAGGTTTTACCAAGGCTGTACATAAATTTAGCATTAGTTCCCTACTGTTGTGTTCTAATGCACCAAAATTATTAGCACTTTGTTTGCATTCCTAATGGCCTTATCAACATGTGAAGTTTACTTTCAGTGACTTATGTATTTGAATTCTCTGATGTTTTCTTCTACATGATTTAGCTTCTTACTTTGCAAGGCTTAACTGGCCCTGTTAGGGAATAGGATTAAACCTATGACCTGTTTACGATGTATGACTCGGCTTGACAAAGAATGGTATAAAGAACAAAAAAGCCTTTAAGATATCCCCCAACAAGAAATTTTACCTTTTGCTTTTAATGATGACATGAGTGCACTATTACTAATACACGTTAATCAGGCCAGATATTACACAGCTAACATAACAAAACTCACTAGAAATACTCACCATGTCAGCTGTCATCATTTTTGCCACAATGTGAGTTACAATTTTTCCAGAAGGACGTTGTCCTTTTCTACGCCTCAATATTCGTGGAAAAAATGGGCCATGTGCTCTATAATTGACGAGCATAATGAACAAAAAGAACCGAATTCAAGATATAACAGTAGGTGAGCAATGGCAAACATTTAAATAATTATTTCATCATTCTCAACAAATATACATTCTAATAAAATCTCTACTGGAAAAGCAGTACAGCAATGGCCAATTAGGTCAATTAAGGAGACTGTCAGATTAAAAGAAGCTAACAATATTCCCATAAAAGGTTAGTAAACCAAAGAATTGAGAATATTTTAAAATCAAAGGATGACAAGAAGTTGATAGGGTCAGAAAATTAATTAAAGAATAAATTAGCAAGAAATTTAAAACAGAGGAATTAACTTTTACAAGAATAAAAAAGAAATTCATGAAAGTAAATACAGGTTCAATGTAAAAGGGGAGAAATTATAATGCTATTCAAGGAAATGTTTACCCTCCCAATAAACAAAAAAACCTACTGAAAATTGAGAGACATTGGGTTGGATTTTCACAGACACGTGAAAATGCTGACCAGGACCTGATTCTGGATTCCTGGCCCCATTTGTGGGCTCTCTGATTTTCAACAGTGCTATTTAAGGGTGTAAGCTGGTTTGGGTTGCAAGCCGCAACCTGCATTCCTGATCTGGCCAGCTCCATAATGGAGATTGGCATGTCTTGGTCTTCCACAATTTTCATGGAGTCAGGCCAGTCTTTAAAGGATTCAGGTATCTGAACCATAGTTTGGATGAGGGAACCTTTGAAAATATAAGTTCAAAAGGTGTCACCCATAACGTGATTTCTTTGAAAAAAATAGAATTCTTAAGAGGCTAGACAGGATAAATGCTGAGAGGATGTTTCCGCTCGTGGGATCGGCTAGGACCAGACAGCATAGTCTCAGAATTAAGGGGTTCCAATTTAAAACTGAGATAAGGAGAAATTTCTTCTCTTAGAGAGCTGAGTGTCTTTGGAGCTCCTTGCTACAGAGAGCTCTGGGGATAAAGAACTTGTCTATATTTAAGGCTGAGATAGATTCATGATCAATAGAGGAATCAAGAGTCATGGGTTAAGGCAAGCAAGTGGACGTGAGGAGTGTCGGATCAGCCATGATCCCACTAAATGGCAGAACAGGCTTGAGGGGCCAAACTACCTACTCCTGTTCCTATTTCTTATGGTCTTATACCCACCATGTCCAGCTATGCTGACCCTCACAACAATAGGTTTTAAAAAATCTTTATGACAATGTTATTCAATCATAACATTACATTTCCTTAAAACAAAAACTCTTGTTACAACAGGTCAATAAAAAAAAAAAATCAATCTATGCCCTTTAAAAGCAACACATCAGAAACTCTTCACACTTGAAATCTTTATTTTGTGTAAACAAACATCGTGCAATTGACAGAAGAGATCAGAGAGTCAGGTATTAGGCAGTGGTGTAGTGGTAATGTCACTGGACTACAAATCCAGAATCCCATGCTAATGTTCTGGGGATGTCTGTTCAAATTCCACCATGTGAATTCAATGAAAATTTGGTATTGTAATCTAGCTTAATGTTACCCATGCAACCATTGTAGATTGCTGTAAAAGCCAATCTGGTTCACTCTTACCTAGTTTGGCTTACTCCAGACACACCACCATGGGGCTGACTCTTAACTGCCCATTAGCCACAGGTAAGAAATGCTGCCTAGTTAGTAACGAATACATTCCATGGACGAATTAAATAAAATGATACATTTTCTCTGGGGCTTGGCTATTTCAGTACTCTAACAGTTTTCAGGGCTTTCAGTCAAACTCAGAATGTTCAGAACAGATTAAAAATAACGACACAACTGGTGTAAAGACAAATTAAAAGTAAAGGTATGGAAAAAATTTAAGTGGGTTTTGCTTGTATCCACCATTTTAAAATTTCAGTTTGAGTTAATGCATGCAGAATCATATTTCAAACTGAGTGAAGTGTCCACAGGAAACAGTTTTGAAGAATAAAGTTGATGCTTCAGATGTCCCACATTATTAGTTTTCTTGTTCATGCTGTCAAGAAGAAATGAATTCCAAACAAGAATGCAATATAATCTACAGGATATCCCAAACAGCTCTCAAAGCATTTACAAGTAACAAATTCAAGTGTACAGCTGTAACAGGATTGAAATCAGATGATCAATCAATTCAGGTAACTAGATATGCTAAAAGTACTGCAAAGCCTCAAGAAGAGAAAAAAAATTAAATGAAATATATCTTTCCATGATATAATTTAGCATTAAATTTAACATAATGAAGATCCATTTTGATGTTATTACCTAAGACGCAAATCTTCCCAGATTTTTAACAGTCCACAAATCATTAGGATTTCGTAATATTTTTTCCAACATTCCACTGCTTCAGCTGCAGATGGATCCTCTCGTATATTGCTTTGGTATTCTATAAGCTCCACACGTTTGTTTCTATATTTTTCCAATGTCCTTTTGAAACGTTGACCTACAGGGCCTGGTATTGTTCCATCTTGAATATCATAAAATCTGAGAATTATTAAAAATGTATAGAAGTGAATATAAAAAAAATTACTGCAGTTTAACAATAGTTGGTAAAGTTTGCTTCTTAACGAGCAAAGGGTCCTCCCAACTGCTTAATATTAAATAAACCTCTACCTCAGTTCTACTGTGGCCTCCCTGATCTTCTGAAATAGTTGACACAATGGCAACATGATCTGTCTTTTATGTCCTTGAGGACTGAGCACCCACAGGCTTCTGGGATTGAGAATTCCGAGTATTCACAACCACTGGTGAGAAGACTTGTGTCATCAATTCTAAATGTTGACCCTTGATCCTGAAATTTGGGTCCCCGGATCTAGAAATGATCTGAGTGAAAGCTTAATGAAAATAAAACTCCTATTGCCAGAAACTTGAAATCCAGCAGAAGAGGATTTCAAAACTGAATTCTTGAGTGATTTAATGAGTTGCTTGTTTTGCACTTACCGACAGCTCTTAGCTCAAAAGCTGTGATTCCCATTTATAATGCTGGCGATTTTAAAATCTCCTCTGTATAGCCAGAACATTGCCTGGAGTGCGATAGTGGTGTTGAGGAGACGGAGGGTTCTGTTGATATGTTTTAATTAATCTACAATGTTTTAACTTTATTTAACGTTTCGGTATTTCCTTTAATTGTGCAATATTAAAAGGAATTATGTTCTCTGTTGCAAGCCTCTGTCAACTTGACTTCTCTCAAAGGGACCATTCATGAAAGCGTGACCTAAGCAATATATGGAGACACTTTTTATTTAAAAAAAAAGTTTGCTTTGGAAACCAGCCGGTTTGATGCATTCCCAGTAAATCTTTTGTTCAGTTCCTGGCTGCTTATCCTTTTCTAGTTGTTTCCAGACAGAAAATGGCAACTTCCAATTGGAGAAAAATTATGGAGAAAGGAAGCTATTGCCACCTGTGTTGCTAATAGTTCACAGAACGTCACGCTATTTTTCTGCAATGGAGGTACCCCTGGGACTCTACTACATTCTATGAAAGTACAATTAGCAGTAGCATGGGAAGCTCCTGGTTCTCACACAACTCAAATATGTAGTAAATTTTTGTTCTTTGGTAACCTAAGCTCAGCATGGTTGCTGTCAACATCACAGGAACTTTTATGTTCAAATCTGAATGCTCTTTAGTTTTTGTGCGAGCAGCTTGGTACCTGCATATTGGAATTTGAATTACTGTACACAATCAATACCTGCCAAACAGCACTGCCAGAGTTACGGAGGGGAGAAACTGGGTTCTTATCCATGCTATCTCTGTAACATTGACACTTCCACCACAAAAGTAAAGAATTCAACTATATGGACAGGCTAGAAAAACTAGGGCTGTTTTCTCTGGAGCAGCGGACACTGAGGGGAGACTTGCTAGGTCTATAAAACTGAGATGCATAGGTAAGAATTGACAGTCAGAACCTTTTTCCCAGAGTTGAAATGTCTAATGCTAGAGGGCATGCATTTAAGATGAGAGAGGAAAACTTCAAAGAAGATGTGAGGTGCATTTTATTTTACACAGAAGTGGTCGGTGTCTGAAACATGTTGCCAGAGGTGGTGGTGAAGGCAGATATGATAGGGGTGTTTAAGGAACTTTTAGATAAGCACATGAATACGCAAGAAATGGAGGGATATGGACCAAGGCCAGGCAGAAGGGATTAGTTTAATTTGTTGTCATGTTCAGCACAACATCCTGGGCTGAAAGGCTTGTTCCTGTGCTGTATTGTTCTATGTTGTAATTCTAGACTCTCCAGAAAAGGGAATCAGCTTCCCACTATCTACATTATCAAACCCTCGCTGCTCATTCTATTTAGTTTCTCCTCATTGAACAACCCTCTATACCGACGAATCAATGTAATGAACTTTTATAGCACCCTGTGAAAGGCAGTATATCATTTGCACAGACCGCTCACCATACACCAGATGTGACCACATCAGAGAGTCACATATAATTGTAAAAAGAATTTTTTCCTTTTATAATCTGACATCCTTACAGTGCAGGCTTACATATTATTTCTAATTGTTTTCTGTGCTCTTATGTTAACTTTCCATGATTCATATACAAGGACACCCAAAATTTTCTGCATTTCAACATTTAGTGATCTCTCGTCTTTTTAAAAGTTCTGATTTTTATTTTTCCTGGCATAGTGGATAATTTTACATTGTGCTAAATCTGACAGCTTTCTTCCACTCACTTAAGCTACTGATATACTTTTGCAGCTTCTTTTCGTCCATTTACACGTTAGCAGAAATTAGTGGTGCCTAGTAGAGTGGATAGGATGGTGTGCAGACCAGGAGAGTTGCACAGGATGCTGCTCCTCTGAATCCTGGTGATGAGAAAACTATCCCGCATTTGTTAAGTGACAGGAAGGGAATAATTCATCTCATTAGTGAGCTACTTAAAACTAAACACCTGTCAGCCCATGGAGATTTAATGGTGACTTGGAGATTGCACAAAACTCACACACGTGTCCCAACCCACCAGAATACATGGCCTCCTCTACTGGTCCTCTGCACCACCCTGCCACCAGGACGTCCAGTCCTTGGCAGAGAATCATGGCCCATTTTACACTTCTGACATCTTCTGAATGTATACTCGTCACGAGCAGGCAACTTCGGAGTACAAGTGCTTGTATGGATGCATACTGGCCTTTTAAACATGGCGCAGCCACCAGCAATGTTAGTCTTTCAGCAGATATCTGGATAGTGGAAAGTTTTTACAGGAATGGTACATGATAAGATGGTGCTAGTATTGGGCAAATTAGGTGCCACAAGGGCATGGTATGATATTATGTGGTGGGTTTAGTAAGATACAGTAAGAGATTTCACTAGGCCTTGTGTCAAAAAACCGTCCAAAATAAAACTAGATAAAACTAGCCAAAATAAGGTAAGATTCTGCCCCATGACTGATTCACAGAGTCATAGTGTCATAGAGCGCAGGAACTGATTCTTCAGTCCAGCCAGTCCATGCCGAACATAAACTCAAACTAAACTAGTCCTACCTGCCTGCTCCTGGCCCATATCCCCTCAAACCTTTACTTTTTTTAAAAACTTACTTTATCCAGAGCTTGGACAGCATCAGCAGCGGCGAGAGCCCAGTGTGCAAATCTCAAGCAGACCCAGGGCGCGAACTCAACTGGGCCTAACATGGACCTCGAGCAGTCTCAAGTGAGGTATAGGGTGCAGACCTCTGGGGGGGGGCAAGAGAGAGAGACCAGAGCATGGACCTTGGATGGGCCTACCAGGGATCTTGAGCGGGCCCAGGGCATGGATGTCAAGCAGGCCCCTAACTACTTTTCTGGGGCAAGCACAAAACCTAGAATCAGCAGCTGCTACCTCAGTAGAGGTAACATTGGCGAGGTAGGCCCAGCTGCAAAAGATAGTGCCTAAGGATCAGTGACTTTGTTGTTGCTTGGGTCTGGCACTGGCTGCAGCAAAGCGATGGCAGAAGGGCATCACAGCAACATTGATGAGGTGGGCTCTGTGGTGAGAGACACGACTCTGATATTGGTTGGTCCACTGCAGGCAGCGGCGAGGCAGTGGTACAGGATTATTGGCCCAGCAGCTAAGATGGCACCTGAGCATTGGTGAATTCAACGTTGGTTGGGTCCAGAATAGATGGTAATGATGCAGTGGAGGAGGGATGTTGGCACAGGCTTCGTTGATGGTGCTGAGCTAGATCAGGACTGATGGCACCTCTTTAAGCTGAATTTTTCTTTAATTCCTGTATTCTTAAATTATTCAAAATGGCACCATATCGTGATGACAAATGAAAGCTTTTCACTGTATTTTGTTATATTCTTACTGCAAAATACACATGACAATAAAATCAAAAACAAATCTCCCCACTAAGATATTGGTCACTTTCCAGTTCAGGTTAAACTCATCCTTTTTCAACAGTTCTCTTCTGTCCCAGAAGAGATTCCAATTGTCCAAAAATCCAAATCCCTCAACAAAACACCACCTCTTCAGCCACTGACTCATCTTCTTTATCCTTTTGTTCCTTCCCTCTTTCGAGTTTGGCATTGGGAGTAAACCAGATATTAGTATTTTTAATTTTAAATCAACTACCTAACCTCTTATATTCACTCTGTAAAGCTTTAATCCTTTCCCTAAAAATGTCATTCTTACCAATGTGTAAAATTTTTTTTTTTAGCTCCTCAACATCCCCTTTAACAAAATGCTTGAAACATTTAGAGACACCCTTAACTGCAGCACCAGGAAAGCAATATGCCATCCTAAATTTATGCTCACTGCCACAAAACCACTGGAGACTTTTGAACTAACTTCTTACCTTTCCTGACAGTCACCCATCTATCTGATCCTCTTGTAATCACTTCTCTAAATCTACTAGCCAACTCACTCTGTGCCTCTTATATGCCCTCAATGTCCTTAAGCCTAAAAAAAAGCAACTTTTATAACTACCTTTCACAACCTAGGGAAAGTAGTGTTAAAATATAATGATTTTTTAAAATAATCAAACATATAGATCTTAAATAATATCAAGCACTTAGCTGATTTACTGAATTAAAATGACTCCTTTTCAAATAAGTTCCTCAGATAAAAATAGTCATATCCAGAGACGAAACCCCAAAATGAACACACAGCTCCATTTAAAAAAAAGCTCCTCGGCTATTCAAAAAAACACTTGTTCTGAAAAAAAAACTACTTAAAACGCGTACAGTCTTTTCTTAAGTTTCCAAATTTAGAAAAAAGTCTTCAGCTGATCACTGTAGGCCTCTGAAAAGCTTGTAGAAAAAAGAAATCATGATTGTTTTTGTTTTTTTTGAATGTTAAAGAAACAAAATGAATAAAAATCTTATGTTAGTGAAATATAATAACTATAATAAAACTATAAATCGATAACTAAGCCTGCAATCTCAGGAATCGCTGCAAGATCCATGGTGTTCATTTGATCTTGAAATAGTGGATGGTGCCAAAAATTATAAACTCAAGAAGGGGTGGATGGCTAATGGACTAGGGATGCATTTCCTTGTATTGACAGCAATCAAAAACACTACAACAAGGCTGAAAATAATGGAGATAGTAGGAACTGCAGATGCTGGAGAATCTG